GTAGCTGGCTTAGTAGCTAGAAGGAAAGATGGGTGAATAAATAAATAGAGTGATTGATTAATTATGTAACTGACTGACCGATTGTTTGTCTGACTGATTTTTGGACGGATGGATAGTTTGCACATGTTTCACTGAAAACATATCATGATCTACGAATTCATTTGGGAAGTGAAAAACTGGGCGTACCTTTGTTATCAGTTGGTTTTTGTTTGAGCAATCTACAACTGCTTGCGGCTAAAGCGTCCTTACTGAATGTCAAAAGCATGGCTTCAGTAACGACAGGGATTTACGGAAACTGACTAATGAATGTGCGCAGAAAACCATATGCCCGACAGCACGATTAGTTTTTTCGAACGTACCGTTTCGCAAAGGGATTGGCGAATGTTGGACTAAACATAGGATTGGTTCTTTAATTTCATATCCTTCCAGTACCTTTTCTTACAATCATAGATTTCGGATTTCAATCTGCTCCAACACAATCTTGTTGAGTTTAGTCCGATGGAGTCGATGTACAAATTACTGTATTCATCAAATACACGCACGCAATGATGACACAAATCTGGGTATCAAATTTTGGAGGCATGACGAACAGAGTCTGTTTAAACAGAATACGTGGCTATTCGTATACCAACCTGACAGCCTAGTCAAAGAACCCAGCTGATCCATATTATTTGACCAACGGTCAATCTGTTAAGGCGATATGTGGGCGTCCGTGATTTTCTGAACTGTAGTGAGGTGTCCGTTCGTTTTGGGACAGCTAAAACACGCAAAGGCAATTGAAAATGTCAACTGAAATCGTTTGCTGCACACGAACGTTCTGTGTTGTCAGTTTTTGAAATAGCAGATATAAGTTTGTCATACTGTCTTGGATCCAGCGCAAGACCAGATATACCGCAATTAAATCAGTTCCTATCGTAATGGTCACTCATAAGCTCCTGTATTTTACGAAATATCCGTGTGGAACTTGATCATGCGCACCAATTTTATTGCGTTTTTCAGCATGCAGAGCTCATGCATTTTATCTCTCTAATGGAAAGTTCATGCGTCACAGAGTTCAAAGTACCTTCAACAGCTCTGCGTTACTACGCCTTCAGGGGCCTCCAAGCCCCGAGTTGAAAGGGACACTTCCGTTTGTTTACAAACAGTTGGCCTGGCTCAAGCACCCAGTCTTTTTTGGACCTTAGACACAGTTTCTGTCTCCGGGAGAATCCTCACTGAAAAATCAGCTACCTCCAGTGTAATAATGCGTATGCGCGAGCAGTGTAAGGCATAAAATCACATTTACGAATGCCCGCAATCTGTTCCATTTGATTTATAAACCCTTTCTGGTAAACTTTCTTAGTAGGGCTACTGAAAATCACAAGAGTTCCTTGGTCTTAAACATATAACGAGATTGTAAATTTGGGGGACATATCAAGACTTCAGCGAGTAACATACGCATTTCCATCTGGAACGCAGGCCTGTAACATGTTTAATGGAACACGCAATGGAGATTCCACTCATGCTAGCTGAACATACTGGAGGATGCAATGCAGGAGCTCTGGAGCAGTATGGAAGGAAGCATTGACGATCTGGTGAAACAGCGTCGGACAAAAAGCTGGAAGGCGCATGTGTGTACGGTCATTTTAGCGGGAGCGTGCTGCACTCGGTCTGTACGAGACAGAGGCATGCAGCACTTGAACACGTAGGCCTACAAACACCGTATGAAATCAGCCTTGGGTTCGCCAGAATTGCTTCGGTCTGTCTGTTTTTATGAGGATTATAAACTTTCTGGCCTGTTGGTCAGCTCCATTTTCTTACTGTGTCATTGGCAGGCCAATCATGTCCAATATGGCATTTCACTCTTCTGCTGTTACTTTTTACCCATTAGTCGAAGCCAGCGCTATCACTTATATGACTCTAGGCGGCTAAAAGTTCATCCAAAGAGACAGTATACATGGAATTCCATAGTCATGTTGGCCTCAAAGGGAATCTGTAAATGCTACTGAGTTTTTACTTGAGAAAAGTTGGAAAATGCTGACTAACGAATAGTGGCTATTGCCCGAAGTTTCAAGGATGAACAAAAAAATCAATTTCTCACTAAAAGTGTCGGAACAATTAAACTCGGCCACAAGCGTTGATCCACCAGACCCAGATTTTGACACGAAAGATGCGTGCAGTATGTTCCGGTAACTCATGTGGCATTAGGGCAGGAAAACGAGCCACTTTGCTAACCTCATTTTCCAAGTTGAAGGACTGACAGCTCTCTTCTACATAAGTGACACCTGACAACATGTTCTGGCGGAGACTGTGTAGTTTACGTGCACACCAAACTCAGTTACTTGATCCAAGGGTTCAGACATGGTTCACTTGGAATTCATTGGCCTCATAAATGAACTTTTATTCGTGCTGATTACCAAACACAGTAGCATAATTTACAGCGACTTCTGTGTAACGTTTTGGTACCAAGTGAAGGGCTTGGAACTGCACAATAATCAGATAAAAAAGGCGGATCCTTTCTTCAGATTGCGTGAAAATGCTTCGTAAGGGTTGCATAAGGTGAACGATTTATGTTTCATCTCAGTCACTGCAGTAGGGATTACATGAGATAATCCTGACATTCAATAGAAATTTTTGACAGTCCATGCTTGGCAATCAAAATCCGGGCTTTTCACATTGTAACTGTGCACAAATTCCATGCATTCAAAAATTACTAAGCCTTCTACTTTAGGTAGACGACTGGGAAGTGCAACTTCTGGTCTCTGAAGAGAGCAGCAAAATCTGTAGGGAGCAAGGAACAGCCGGTTTACGTTATAGATGAGTGGATTCGTAAGTAAGTGTGACGTTCAACTGATTCCCCGTCTTAGGTAGGATGGAACGTCTAACTCTGTGATAACGTCTTTTGTTGGGGCTCTCATATAGCGACACTGACTCGGTTTCGACGAAATTAAGTGCAGTAGAACACTAAGCACACTAAATGCATCAAGCATTTATCGAGTGCTGACTGCGAACAATATTGTTGATAGTAATACCCTATAAAGCTCTTAATTCTTTATGGTTTTTGCTCAACATGCATTAAGCCTAAGGTTTTCCGACATACTGCACCGTCCACAAAACGGGTGCTACCACTTTTCAAAAAGATAATACATCTCCTTGAAGAAGCCCAGCCGTCGCTGAGTTGGTTGATTCAAAATCGCACCGAGAAAACAGTTGTATCAGATTGGCAGTCCCTAACGGGTATACAGAAGTAACACCAGGAGACCCATTCGCGACCCCCAGAGTTCCTCGTGTTTCTTTTACGGGTCATCATGTAGAGCTTTGCGAATGCAAGTCTTCATTTAGGAATACATTAGTTGCAGACATCGGACACCGGACAATTGGTCCCCAAATAAATTCGACAAATTTTATTAGTCTTATGTGGAATAAACTCACGAGGTGCTTGAGGAAAGTTAAATGACAAGATTGAATGCGCTCGAAATCTTCCAGTCTGCACACTGCTGGTTATAACTTTAGTCCTACTTCGAACCCCACAGCAGCTATATTAAGGATTTTTCCATAGGTCAAATAAGCTCTAGTTCCCAATCAACTGGAAATTGTTTGGGAAATGTTCCCAGATTTGAAGGTAAGCACTTAAAATAGCTATTTAATATATTATTTTCATTATGTTGTATTTATTTCTGAATGGTTGGATGATGTTGGAAAAATGAGGCCAACAACTACCACACGCAACGGAGTTACCCGCAAATCTTCCGTTTTCTGTGCCACTGCGTAACGGTGATCCTGCATTGCGTCTTGTAACACTAGAACTCTGGTGAATTATTCTTGTTCAGGTATCACTGACTTTGACTGTCTACCACGGGGCTGAGAAAACAGTGGCAAAGGTTCCACTTCGATTGGTCAGTCATTTCGGACACGCTTCTGAAACGAGCTTGTTTAAGTAAAGTAGACCATTCGACCAAAGGATGCTGAATGTACCAGACTCTATTGTTTGTGAGATGCTCGTGATCGTGTGTTCCCTTCGAGAACACGGAGTGTTTGTATAGCAGTCTTGAGTAAATAAATGACGTGCATCTTGTTTTTGAGAACGTAAAGTGTGAATCAATTGAGCCAAGTGATTTGGGTGAAGTACATGCTTTAAATATAGGGTTTATGAAGTTTTTGAAGTTTCAGGAGCTCTAAATCTCCAGGATTTTCACACGTCCCAATAGTTTCATCTAGTTTGATATCAGTGAATCTGGTGATGCGGATGCGCAACCAATCGAGGGCGGAAACATCCATACCAATTTGCGCTAGTGTTGACGTCGAAATGATAAATCTTACAGGTCGCTTGTACCATACCACATGCTTGTTACATAATCACTACGAGGAAGTGATGACAATCCCCTGGATATAGGTGTAATATTGTGGGGTCATATTTTCTACGCATCATTGGGGTACCATTTTAACACATGCGCAGATGCGTCTGAAAGTTAACTATCCAACGCCACAGCCATAATACGAAGCTCAGAGGGACCCACTTAATAAGGTTTTATACCCGAACCGTTGAAATAATCCGCGTGTATTCGAACTTGAAATTGTTATTATCAGTACTAAACTCACGAGTTTCAACAATGCCGTGTATGGATAGTTACTACCGTGGAAATTTCTCACGTCAAAATTGAATATTCCGCTGGTAAATAATGTATGCTGACGTAAAGCGGTCTCACGTATTATCTTACTGGTGGTCATCGGTTATGATGAAAAAGAATTGTTTTTATCCAGAGCTTTTCCTAAATATGCCGGAAGCTATATTTATCCGTGTCTGCTTATCGGGTTGGCGACCGATGAACTCACGTATCCACGTATTTAACCGTGAATAAATCTCAGTACTCGTCCCACTGTCCGAACCAATTAAAATGCATGTTGATTATCACGCGTGGGTGGGTGTTATCGTCCAACCAAAAGCTTGGCTTGTCAAATCCAGCCTATTACTTCTATTGTTGTTGTTATTCATTGTTATTCATTCACTAAACCAAAGCACCATGAAACTTAACTTGTCCAGTCCCGGAAAGCTTCCAACACTGCAGTTACACAAGATTGTTCGAGTGCTTGGAAAACATGACACCCATATATTTACTTTCGTTGTCCCATCTCAGCTCACTCGTGGATTTCTTCAGTCAGTACAATCAAAGGAGTTTTCCTATGGCGGATTGTCATGGTATGTTAAACTGGAGTATTACAGTGACCCACTGGATGCACAAGCAAGACGCGGTTCATTTGTTGTGCACTATCAGAAACAACCCTTGGGGTTTGCACTGCACTGTTGTGGTTTGTCCAACATGATGAAAGCACACTTGAACTACGTCCGTTTCACCATACTTCACCAGGAACACTTCATGCGAAACCTGACACGTGAAGAAATTGAGCCGAATTTCACCTCGGTCAAGCCTTCGTTTAAAGTACCTAGGTGGATAGAGTCCGGATACTTGACGAAGGAGCGATATGTTTTTGATGATTCATCATGTTTGCTGGAAGTTGAACTGCGTGGTGCAGTTACAACGTATGAAGAACAATTGCGTGTACCAAGAGATCCAAGAGAAGTTTCACGGTGCAAGACACTAGAAAGTACAAGCTTTAATTTTGCCGGGGCCGACTGGAGTTTGGTGCTTGATTGGAAGTCCATCCCCGAACGTACCGGCAGTTCAGATCGAGATTGTCGCCCCTCATTTTTCATACAGAGACATAGTCGTGCCAAAAACTGGACACGAGTTCAATACAAAACAACAATAACTTGGCACGAGGCAGGAACAGCGAAATCCGCTGTGATAGATCAGCTTATCCCGCCAGAAATAGGTGCCACAACGGCCCCTGTGCCGATTGGTGATCGTCGATGGTTTGCATCAAGCGGTGGACCAGTGGTCACAGCGAAACACAAAATTAACTTGAGCGTTGAGCTTTATAAAGCACTACAAATAAGCCGTGTTGATTTGATCCCGACGGCCCCACAAGGTGGTAAAAATTGTTCACGCGTCACGGACAACGATGGCTTTGACTGGATTGTAATGAGTGACATTTTGGGTAGTCTCGTGAAGTTACGGATTTTCCCAGACCCCGAGAATCTAGTTTCTCAAAAGAAAGATGACACCGAAGGTATGGTAGTAAACAGGTCAACTGCATTTGCTATTCAGCTGATCCCCTATGACCCAGCCCTGGATGTCGTGAAATCTCTCACAAACTTTTACACAATAAACGTGCCTTTAATCTCGAAATCCACTACTGATAATCGGCTAAGTGTATCAGATATCTCGCAGGACGTTGTGCTCCTGCTGGAAGTTGACAAGGTTTGTTGAATTCATTTTTTTATTTCATTCGACAATTTTGGATTTATTGCTTCCAAAAAGTTCAGCCAACATTTACTGGTCAAATTACAAGCAAATTTTTAAATTGCATCAAATGTCGTTAAAGTTAATTCCAAATTGTTAGCAGCAAGGAATGCTTCTCCAGCCAGGGATCGGGCTGGCAGTTTCGACGTACAAGTTGCGTGAAACCACTAATCTCCAAAAATTCACCGAACTGCTCATTTAACATGTTTTTTGTTCATGTAGGTAAAACCACTTTGGCTTCATGCCTAAATAACCTATTTATAGGCTCCTAGCATCCAAATATTCAGCGCTGTCCCATCTTAGACACAAAAAAGCCTAACAGTGAACAGCAGTTTTTCAATTCAATTGTGTTGTCGGCACGACACAAACCCGGCACACTACAAACTTACGTTCGGTTATGTCCGCGGCCATAATGTGAACTTCTTATATCTGTTCCGAATATCTGGGTCCCAGGCATGATTTGTCAAAATATATGTACTCTAGTAAATTGCTTACCCCACTGTTGTAAATGCCGTCGGAACTTTCCGTCTAAACTGTTGACTGAGAAAACCTACCATGTTGCATCCTGGGTCATTCAAAGTTTAAAACATTTCGCAGTTGTAAATAAGTTTGCTGCAATTCCCCAGTTGTTCTTAGTAGAATTCATGGACTCAATTTCATTCATCAGTGGATAGATATGGAAGAAAACACTCATAACTTGCACTTTTTATGGGCGGCTTTAAAACTTAGGAGTGGTTACTTTTTGTTAAAACCAAAATATTGACTTTGAGAATAACGTTGGAGCTTTGGAATCCGATCCACCATTTATTTACTTTATTCACGTCAATGTCGCCGCTTTTGTCGTAAAACGTGTGTTAACATGCGTGTTTCCAAAGTCACGTCACTCCATATTATATAGCAGTTAAATAAGTGTATCATATTTCCAAAGTGATGGACCTGTAATTACTGTCCTGTAGTGTTTGATATTCTCAAAATCGGTGTTGCGCGTTTTCGGTTTGCTTTTACCACTCCACGATCTACACCGCACTCACAACACTATTCTTGAGTTTCATATGGTAGAAAAATTAAGTGTATTGTCCTGTCCTCTGGTGTTTTCGCGTCCCACGAATTTTTACAGCTTAACGGAATACTCCCTTTTTAGTTTTTGTGGTCCAGACAAGCCAATCTATCTCGTTCAGTAACCATGATACACTCGCGTTTTAAGCTGCCAAGATGGGTTCACATATGAAATGAATTTTGATACATTGCGGGATTTTTCCAATGGCCGTGGTCACAAACCGTTGAAATAAAGCGCGTCGTTCCCTGAGCAAGTGACAAATTAATGCCTGGTTAGGTAGGTAGTATCGCTAGCAGGTTAGAGTGAATATAACGAAACACAACCTGTCATGATTTTATTTGATAGTTCAGAAATGCGTTTTTTTTGTGACAAAATAGCACTGAATCTATACTGGAAGCAAACAATAATCACAGTGTGAAATTTTCTCAGATTTAGAGACCCACTGAATAAAGTACTCGATTTGACCTCCGGAAATCTACCGATATTAGGAATGCTGGCTATTGGCCGACGGGTACACACGTAGCCTCTTGCAGTAGTGTGCTAGATACAAAACAACTGTATTTATTTGTTTTGGAGGATGTCGCTGGCTTAGCCAACATAAATGGCAGCCGATGGTACATAAAACATGCGCGTAGGTTATTTTCTGAACGGAATATGGTCATCCCATTTGAGCTCAAATGCAGAAGGTAATTTTTTACACAAAAAGTTTTATCTACTGTAGACTTTGCACTCAGGTTGGTATGTAGTTTATCGCTCAGTTGGACGTTTTTATTAACATGGGCCTTATCTTTCTTGATAAAAAATACAATTCACACGTGTAAGGTACACACAGAAAATGACAGCGTTGCACATTGCATCCCCCACAAGATCTCTTTGGATTTTGGTACTCATCGAAATATTTTCTACAAAAAAGTAGGTGTGGTTCAACACAGCCACCTATTGACTATTGTGACGTAATCGGTTAGTTGATTACACCCTGGTGGATATCCTATATTTGCAGCAGCGTATAATTAGGCAGCTCATAGACTGACAACCTTTCATGTTAAGAGTTTTGGTTTTTCGTTCGCATTTCCCTTTGCAAAGCACTCCTTGCCCCTAATTGTTTCGAAATGAATTTTGCTTCAAAGAAACCGAACAGTAATATAGTCTAGATTTTGGTAAGAATTGGAGATGTAGTCCTTTCATTCAGTTTTTCCAAACGAAGGGGACGTCTGTCTATCCAGCAATAATTTGCAAGCCACCACTTGCTTAATTTGCATCCAGTACAGTTTTTCTCTATCGATCACTCTCTGGTTTTTCAAATCCCTAAATCCCTTCATATTACAAACAAACCTCCAAAATTAACAATATGTGTGGGCATTCCAACTGATTATTCATCAGTCTGGATTGAGTGAGCATGCGACTAGGTAACGACGAGATAGAGATTTCATGATCAGTGAATGAGTGCGTTCAATTTTCTGGATGCGAGTGGACCATACCGCCTATCAGGCCATGGTATCTAATCGACTTGATCTTTAACTTATGGCCTTGAAGCCGCGGCTTTGAATGTTCTTGATGCGCCCAAAATTGACACCCAATGAGGAGGAAGCAGCTCTTTGGTGCTTTTCGGCTTTCTTGTACAGAAAAAAATCATAAAGAGAGCTCCAAAATGTCTCATTCTCTCAAGTAATGATGTCTGTTGTCATTGTGACGAGATTTCAGGGTTTTTAGAAGTGACTGTCATTTAAGTGGAACTGCTTATAGTTGAGAATGCACTGTATAGCTGTTTCACTTTTGTTATTACTCGCTAGAAGTGGGCGTCGCGTAAAAATCCATGGAGTTTCAGGCTTTAGATCTCCTAGCTGAAATTTACTGTCTTGCACAAAGATAGCGATTTGCAATGCGATTCATCCTTCAACTAAGGAATAAACATTTCATGGTGATTTGTTGAATGACCCTAAAACTGATGCTCTCATAGGTAGATTAGTTCTTCCTCCAGAGCTTGGTATACTTTATTGGCGGTATGACAAGCATTGAAAACTTTGAATAATGACTTTGTCCTGAAAGTGAAACTGCTATCGCTATTGCCGTCCGAGGTTCTCCAAATTTTGTCATACCGTTCAGTTGTAATCTCCCATTCCTGCATTTTTGTGCAGTTGTTCTTAATATGCATACGTTGTTCGATGTGCGACCGAATAAATACGCTTAAAATAAACTGCCCACAAATTATGCAATGCTTTTCAGAAACCGACCCCGAAAAAGAGAAGACCATGTTGATAAAACCAAGAGAAACAACATGCTTTATCTGGTTGGGTGTAGCAAATGCAAAACTCTTCACGCTGAACGGACTCCGGGAAACCGGATGTATACTTCGAAAAGACATTTAAACCACTGGAAATCATGACATCCACCATTTAACTCCATACACAGAGACCAAGTAAGGCATAAATTCTGATAAGAACGTAAAAACCGCAACACATGCAGGCACAAAATCTTAAGTACATTTTTGAAATTGTGGAACCCCAAGGCAAACTAAATCAGCCAGTACAATCAGTTAATGCATCACTACGTGAATGTATCCAGTTTCTCGGCTAGAATTCGCAAATCAAACCGAAAACACGTCAAGAAACAGGAAACCCCTTAAAGTTATGCTTGAAAATAACACAGCGTAAAACCCGAAGAAATCAGAGGATAAACAAACTCAAGCATCGATAGAAGGAAACAGCACTATGATTAAAATGAAAACCAACTTTGTCAGTACTGATATTAACGGGCCGCTTGGCCGAACAACCTATTGTAATGGGACAGTCCCTATAAGCAGCGCAGAACACATTAATCAACACACAAACACAGATTCACCCCTAGGCTTCACCTCTCAACTGATGATTGATGACATCGTCTCGATTTGCCGATGAACCGGTTGCAATCATACTACCTACCACAGTGAGCAAATCAAACAGGGTTTACTTTATCTGGGTCACCGAGTCGTCCGTAGCTGAAACAAAAGCGCTTAGCTTCGATTTGAACTCATCACTGTCATATCTTTGTAAACTAAACGTTTTAGCAGATCCCTTACTTATCACTTTGCCCTTGATGGCCCTTGATCGTGCAGAATGCAGCTGGTGATCGGGGGAGAATCATGCTCCAACCCTTTGAATTGTGGGGACATTACGACTGTTCTCAAAACGTTTCCAAAGAAAGATGACTCCTCAATCGTTTCCAGACGTTTTCCAGTATCCATTTTTTGCACACTTGGAAGTGTGCCCACTAGATATGGACACTTTATTGTGGGAATGCATTATTTCTGCCGGGATAATGCTCTACTAGTGTGGCTAGTTCATTTTCCGAGACAGTCAAAATCAACAATAATTCTGTAGAACTTTCAAAAGACGAAGGAATTCAGGTTGTCATTTTAGGATGCTTTTAGTTTCGGTTCATTTGCCCCCAGTTCAGTGTGTACATCGAGCTGGAGTCTGTGAGAAAGCAGCATCGTCGCAAAGGAAATTCAGTCCTCAAGACTAGGGACCACAAACTGCAGCAAAACGACGCTCGTAGTGCACATGAGAAATTGCATACTATGTAGTAGTGCTTATATAGGACTTATCCTTAGCTTATGGAACGATTAAGTGTAATACTGATCAATATTTATCGATTTACACGCTGGTGGATGGGCAGCTCAAGTACCATCGAGCCACCCGCTAACAGCACCTCCAAAATTCTATTAGGGCATGAGAGTGAAGGATAATAACTTAAGGTGTATCTTAACTTGGTTACTCTATTTTTCATTATTAGCCCGTCAGTTCTTTCAAATTCAGCATTTTGTGCATATTGAATTTTGCATTCCATATGCATTTTATACGAACATTTCATACAGCGAAGTTCAGGAACACCATTTGTGTATAGCAAACTGGTGACTATGAAA